AGAGTGCCGACGAATGACCGCACCATCAGAGGCTCGTTCCCAGAGATAGCACCCAGGTGCGATTTGAAATAAATCAAATGCTGGGTGGGGGAACCCCTTCCATCGAACGGCGTGAAGTTGATTAGACTAAACTTCGCCGGATAGGGGATTGATTCCCATTCCCTCGGGTATGGACAAGGAATGCCCGTTTTCTTTACCTCTTGAGCAGACAGCAACGTATTGATTTTACTCTCGAGGCTTTTGATCTTCAAGTCTTCACTTGTATCCCCGTTGGCATCCTCACTACCACCCCCTGCATTGATGGGAGGGTTATTGGCATTGTGAGCTTCATCCCCATCCGCGTGCTCCTTTTCCTGAGCAACCTGGTTACGGTGGCTTGGTTCACCTTGTTGGTTCCTGAATGCTTGGATTTGCTGTTCATGCATCTCTCTCATCTGCTGCATGGCCGTCTCCATCTCGAATTTAAAACTTTCTTTCTGCTTAGCCAAAGCGTCTTCAAGCATTTTGGCCATTTCTTCCGCGCCTATCATGAATGACTCGCGGGGTTGTCCTTCGCTGGACACTGTATTGTCCGATGCGACAGCAGAGCAGGAATCCGATTCTTCATCTTCCGAAGGCAATCTTGTCCGAACCCTACCATAAGTTCCTCGTGCGATGGCTCCGGACTGCAGACGGGTTACACGCCGGGACGCTTCCAGAAACGATTTGAGATCAATCTGTGTCGATGTCTCTTTGCTGGTCATGTTGGCGGTGACCCTCGGAAGTTCTCCGTCTTTAACCACCGTTCTTCTTTGCCGGAAACGCCTATGCCTTGGTTTTGGCGTTTCGGTGCCGAGCCTTTCGAACACTGAAATTCTCTCGGGGACTCCCTTGATGCAGTTGCATTGAGACAGTACTACCCGAATGAGCTTGGCACATGGGCACTGAGTTTCGAGCCCTTGAGGGCTTCTTTTTCTTGTTTTGTTCGTACCCCCAGCACGATAGTACAACTCGTCCATTTGATCGGAGTAACCTATCGCGTGTTGGCATGATTTCCCAGGTATAACGTTATCATCCTCGGATGACAACGTTTCCTTCTGAGAGCAAACTGCCTTATTTGGACTTCCGAGAGTCACTCGCCTCGAAACACGCCTTTGTAGACATGAATTCTCAGCGGGCTCCAGAACTTCGATGCGCAGGGTAGTGCGCTTGGGTGCCGTAAACTCTTTGTCATGTTGAGGGTTGTGTCGACCCCCAGCATGTTGATTAGTTCGGAGCCTCTTCATCGGGCCCGAGCGTTCATGGACTTCGTTGCGCTCGTCGGGAATTGGACCGAGGCGCTCCAAGATTGACCTCCTTCCTCGGGATGGTTCGGGAGGTTGAACTCGTTTTGAAGGCTGTAAAGGTCGATCCTCGGCCTGACTCACCACTTTGGACTTTGGCCTCCATATTTTGTGAGTTAGTGGTGATTTCTTGGCTACTCCATTCTGCCACCTTCTACGGGCTTCTTGAACTTGAGCTCGTGCTTGTGCTGAGAGTGCGCGGCGCTTCTGAATGCGATCCTCCAGCGTTGAACGGTTCCGTTTGACACGGATCCATTCGTTCGTTGGTGGCTTGGAGGAGTTGCCATTCATTGGTTGTTGAGGTCGTTCGCCTCTTCTGTTCTTCAGATCCGTGTTGTAACGGATCCCGTCCACAGATTCCATTGCCTTTGCGATTTGTTTCGCAAGGCGCTGACGTTGCCTTTGGCGGGCTCTCTTTGAGAGAGTCACTACGCCCTCGGCAACGGAAGATTCGGCCAGAGCAGATCTGACCTGGTTGGAAGGAGAGATCTCACCCGATGCAGCTTCGGCATCAAACGGGGCGAGATCTTCGTTGGCAGCTTCAACTTCTTCGTACCAACGAAGTTTTCTCTTGGAAGAGAGCTTTGGAGACTTGGACTTGCGAGGGGAGGTGGATTCGGACGAGGATGACAGATACTCCTCGAACTTTTGTTGGTCGAATTCGTACTCGACCTCCTCCTCGACCGGGATCGGGATCCGCGGCTGCGACGCGACAGCTTCGGCAGTAAAGCTGTTGGCTCCCACTGTGGTCGCCAGATTGTTCGCGGGAAAAATCGTAGCTTTCTTCATTGTTGATATCATTGCTATCTCAGTTAACAACTTTATGCGTTACAAAGATCCGGTCTTTTTATAAGATCCGGTTACAATGAAAAATCAAAGAAAACAAAGTAAAGATTACAATTTTCCTTATTTGTCGAACTAATCGCGAGCTCCTGTTTTGCGGTCGCTCGCTTTGGTGGGTTCTTTGCCTGCGCCGGGGTTATTTGCCGTGGACCACCGCGTGATCTCGATCCGGTCGGATCTACACGATATGACGGGTAATATTCCACCAAGGGAATAATAGCCGGGAGGGATTGTTTCACCAAGGAAACAACCGCTCGAATCTCGGGATCTAAGAACCAAGCTTAGATCCGGAGTGTGATCGTGTAGATCTCAAATCCAATCCTCTCGAACTCCTGCCTTATGTGGCTCGGCCTTCACCGAGCCACCTCAGGGTGGCTCGGCTTGGGCCGAGCCACCCTGGGGTGGTTCGGTTTCGGCCGAGTCCCCGGGTGTTTGTCCGTTTCGTCCTTTGTTTCCGGTTCTGGTTCTCTTGTGTGGTTGATTGACTTGGCAACGACTCTTTGACTTGATTCCAGATTTGGCAGTGAGTCGGGTTCCTGATATGGCAGTAAACCAACTTCTGAATTTGAGTCCGGAATTGATGTTGATTTGATCGTGATTCATCCGAGTTCGCTCTTGTTTAGATGACTCGGTGATTCACCTAAACATTGGTTTGATTCCGCGTGCGAGTGGATGCATTCCAATGCTTGGGTGCGATTTGTCGCCTCGTTAACCTGCTCCGTTGCGTATAGCTTGGCTTCAGCGTTGGCGAGCTAACGGTCTTGTTTGGATACGTCGCCCGGTGGTCCGTTTGTTAAATCGGCGTCGAGCTGTGCTAAGGGACCTATAGGCAATTTTATACGCCTACAGATAACATCAACTACATCGAACCGCTGGCTGGTGTAGGCGTCAAAAAATGCTGAGAGATATCCAAATACAGCTCAAGAGGAAGTCATCCAAAAAAATCATCAAAGAAGAGACAGTCTTTACTGTCTGGAATTACTGATTCGCGAGACAGTATTTACTGTCTCGCGGGGAGAGACAGTCTTTACTGTCTCGGAAATACTGTTCATCCTGGAGACAGTTTTGAAATGGTCAGAAACCACCTTGAACAACTGCCACACACGTCCATTAACTGTCAAAGAACATGGGGAACGTTGTGGGCGAGAATCACGTTGACAACTACCAAAATAACAGAGTTTTAAAATGTGGGAAGACAGTTACAACAAAAACGGCCAGATGGTTACTGTTCACGAGACAGTATTTACTGTCTCGCGGGGAGAGAC